TTTCTTTTTTTTTTACGTAATAATGATAATCAATTTATTGACAGAAATATATACAAATATCTTTCAGTAACAAAGTAAAGAGGCGGAAAACAATTCTATTGTTTGTTAAATGAACGTAAATATTATTATGTTATTCTATATCGCATACAAGTAAGCTACGGAAATAACTTGCATCGATATATGTCAATCAGTTGAAAAGTCTTCTTCAATTTCTACAAATTCATATAACTGCTCTTATTTATTACATAATGCCATAATTTTGGTGAAAGCTTGTGTCTTTTCATATATATTAAAGGGAAACATTTTCAAGTTTTTTCTCTTTTTTTTTTTTTGCAGGCTAATGTTCTCAAATAAATACTGTTAGGAGCTAAACTTCGTTCACCTAAAGAATTGCATTCGAACTGGAGTGAACTTTACACATGGCTGCATGGCTACATGCCTTGGAAGGCATGTTTTGTTCACCTAAACCTCATTCAATGGGCGTCTTAGCAAAATTGACTACGATATCATCGTACATAGCAAGAAGAGCAAATCAAATAAAAATATTGTGAAATCGGTTTATCATCAAGTGATTAAAGCTAGCATATGTGCTTTCCGAATGACACCCATCGAGCAATATGATTGCTCTTCTTTTTACAAGCAGCTCTAAGTGTCGATGCTACATGGCAAGTGCAAGTTAATCACATCCTATATAAGAGTGCGTCACCATTTGCAACCGAAGTTAGAGCAATTTTTCAGGCCGCATATCCTGTTCGCTAAACGAAACTTCAAACGGTTATAATCGCAAACACTTTCTCGATCATAAAAGCCGTTACCCGTAACCCCTTAAATTCCAACTCGAATAGTAAGGTATTCGTTTGCCCCATTTTTATGTGTCAACACATAGAGATCTCTTGGCAAATGAGCCAGCAGACCTACGACAATGGGAATATTGGACCTTCAAAAGTATATTAGGAAAAATATGAAGAAGAAAAGTAACGAAAAAGAATCGACAGTGCTACTACCCACGCTACTCGAATACTTAATCCTAATCGCACTCAACCTCTATATCGAGCCAACGTCGGCAAAGCCAAGCTTAAAACATTTGCAACGTTCTACCTTGCGCATACCATCAATAGATTTCATACGCTTTGTGAACGCCAAAAAACTTTCTAATATGCGAAAATTCGTTTTTGGAGCACCCAGCCCTGTGAACATCTTGAAAGTACCTGGCGAACTTAATACAACATAAAATATTTCACTTTCTACCCGTATGAGTAGCCGGGAAGGCAAGGATCGCGGCTAAGGTCACGTGTTCAAATTTCAAGCGCGGTAAAATTTTCAATATAGGCGAGCATATATATGATCTAAGTTCTTCGGCAGCCTACAGATCCCTGCTTTACAAAATATATAAACAAAAAATAAATAAATAAATATTTGACTTTATTCAAAAGTCTAAACTAACTATCTAAACTACCTTAAAACAAAAAACAGAAATAACAAAAAAGGATAGTTTCAGTTGCTAGTGGTCATCCTACCTTTAGTCATAAAATTGATTTCTTTGGTCTAAATAAATTGCAATAATACTAACATAAAGTTTGGGAAATAAACAACGTTTCTTTTTTTTTTTTTTTTTTTTTTTGATTATCGAGAGAATATCCGAGAATATAATATACGTTTAATCATTTATTTTGTTAAAGGATTTTCGACGGATAATCTTTTTGACTTGGTTTTATATGAAGAGTAAAATTTGAAAAGCATTTCAGCGGCTTTTTAAGCCTAAATTAATGTTGAATATTTAAATAAAAAAGTTTACAAAAAAAGTGAAATCATTCCTTTACTTTAAAGCAGATATCGTTGCTTCATAAATCTAGTTCTCTAGTTTTTTTTTTTCTCTCTCTCTCTCTCTCTCTCTTTATTATATTAGTGACCAATCAATGAGGAGATGTCCTCTATGCAAGTACAACAGGAGTCAGGTAAAAGCTTGGAGACAGCGACAAGGCAGTGGCCGCGGATTAGGAGATGCGACCACACTTCAATTATAATTAAAATATCGTTAATCGCCCTGACTTAATAATCGCGCTATAATAATAGCCACAATTGCGTATGGAAGGAATAGTGAGCAAACTTCAAGTTAAGTATAACTTCAAATCATAAAGATTTCATAGTAAACATGTCGCTGGCAAAATATTCTGTTTGCAGTTTTTTCATACATTCTTCCTGCATTAGATTACATCATGCATAAAATGCGTAAAAAATCAGACGGATCATCGAATTTAAGAACATGGCTAAATTGATTCAGACTCTTTTGCTTTTTAGGGGAAGTACTCGAAATGGATTAATTGACGCCTGCAACTCGCCTGACTTACCCCGCAAAGGCAAAATATAATCAATTCAAATTGCATCATGAGAAAGTTTCTTGGACTTGAGCGCATTTTCAGAAAACGGATGTTATAATTTTATTGGCCCATTATTAAGACTGCTGCACTTAAGAAATTTCACTCCTTTAAAATAATTTACAGATCAGTTTTCTTTATTCGCATAGATACAAACAAAAGGCTCGAAGATTTTATTTTCTTATTCTTGAATTCTCTTTTCCACTTATCATATTCCACAACAAGTGATGGTTCCGGACATTATAAGTTTCTACGAATGTATGCCGGAACAAGCCAAAGGGAGTTGAGGTAGATCTACTTTCACAATAATGTTCTGAATCGATTTAAGGCTGCCTGTCCATTTATACGTCTTGTTTTCTTTCATTAATATACTCATTAGGTTGAAGTGAAAATTCTTTATTTATTTTCGAGATAAAATACACGGTTTGTATATCAAGCCATGATTTTCATGAAAGCTTCTTTACGAATTGTAGTTAAAAAGCCGGTCTACGTGACCTAAGCTTGATACAATGCATTTTCTGTACTAATTATCATCATTAACCCGTTAACAACTAAATTGGGTAAATTTGATAAAAGCGTTTAATTTTCGTAGAAAGGTCTAAGCCAAACTTTTTTAAACCAATTTCTAATGTCAAAAATTGCAAATTTTTTTTATATAAGAACCGATATCAAAATAAAGCGTTTCATGAAAAACGAACCTTAAAAATAGGCCAATCGAATCTACTTGCCATAGACTCTTGTCCATGGCCCAAAAGACGCTCTAGTTTAGCGCATTCCCTTAAAAATATCACAAAAATGATATCAATCTATAGGTTGATTACAAAAACACCTGGACAGATATTAAGCGGATAAACAGATAGATAATTGGGCGGACAAACGGACAGACAAAAAGTTAAGGTTAAATCAATTCAAAAAACTATTCTGATCCGCATAAGTAAAGCTGGATATATCCTTAGGACTTCTACCTTCTGTGCGTTAGATACATCCCTATATGATAGGTGATGCAGAGTATGAAGTATGAAGTATGAATCAAACGAGATTTTTATTATTTATTTACAATAAAACGACAATTTTATTTATTTATTTATTTATTTATTTTTCTCTTTTTCCATTAAAGGCTTAACTAATTAAGTTACATACAAATATTGTTAAGATAAGTGCTATTTAATTGAGTTATTATTAAAACCGGTTCTATATACCCAAGCATTCGAATGATTAAAAACACTAATAATCTAATTAGTCAGAATTTTAATTGTTTTTTAATGAAACTGCAATTATAATGGAAATGTTTACTTAAGGACGTAAACAAATTTCAAATGATTTTTTAATAAGTGATCAAATTTAAAACAACAACAGATGAAAAAGAAAAATGCCTTTATACTCACCCACAGTCCAAAGCCAACAGTAAAAATGAAATTAAATATGGCGACTATTATAACATTAAAATTAAATGAACGGGAGTTCAATAATCATGGTCATAACAACAACAACAACAACAACAACAACAAAAATTTGCATAATAAAGTCAATCGTAAATCGCTTAAATCAATTAAACAATGGTAGAGCATTTCCTAAGCTCAACCAAATATTCCTCATTAATCATAAAGAGATATTGAACGACCGCGATGAGCATCTGTAAGGGATAGAACAAATTTACTGCCAGACGACACTTTTCCTATGAATAGACACGATCTGAGTATTATTCACGAATATTTCACATTTTTCATTACACAACCATTCCGCGCGTTTTGTGAAGCCCACGTTTTATACTTTAGTTTGTTTCATTAAAGTCACGTCATTATCTCGATAATTTTTTTAGAATTTGCGCATAAAGTTGTCCGCGAACCTTTGGCTTAATAAATGTTTTTAAAAGGGTATGGTTGGCGGATAAGTGTAAAAATTATTTTTCAAATTTCGATTTCGTTTGGCATTTGAAATGACGAACGTGAACGATGTACACGAACTATTAGAACAAAGTCGTCATCATGTCACTTGCGTGGACAAAAACAAAAATAACGTCCTTTAAACGCCTACTGTTGCTTCATTTTCCGAAAAAACTTCACACTTTACAATTGATATCTAAGGCTAAGGTTTTCGATTGGTAGGCACTGCGTATGTTTGGCCCGAAGACTTGGGAGAATTATGCACCTACGTAATGCGACATCAATTCAATAACGAAAATCGCAGCGTATAGGTTAAGCTTTTGATCGTTCATCTATTCGAAAATGATGAGTCAATATTTTACTCTGTTATCTTCATTTGGTATCGAAAAGATTCTTTCTGTCCCATGCATGTGACAATTGTCTCCTTCGAAGAGTGCTTCCATCGCATTAGAAACTTCAGTTGTTGAGGAAACGACTTCACGGAAAACTAAATGGATTTGACGAGAAAACCGTTTTGTTTTACTTTCATGTCGAAATGTTAGACGCATCAAAAGCATATCTCAAAATTGATATGTAAACTTTTACAAGACAACTCCTACATATTATTCGTAATTGAAGGAAGCATAAAAAAAAAAAAAAAAATACCTTCATCGACTTTAGCTCAATTTATCAGATAATAAATGCAAATAAGTTATACAATAACTTTTATTTTTTGAAAAATACACAATTAATTTAAGCTTAATTACATCTCTATACAATTGTTCAAACATACATACATACATACATACATACATACATACATACTTAATATACATAAATAATATCTATGAGATCCATAGCCAACTGGAAAATCTGCAAAAATCATATGAAAAAAAATGCTTACTTTATTTTTAAACGCTTTAAAAAATAATAATAAGAAGAAAAGCCTTTTAATAAAAAAAAAGTACCTTTAAAAGGTCTTTATTTATAAGTTAAGTCTCTTAATCCATACATGTATTTACAAGGAGCGTAGCGCTTGCCCTAAAGAACATAAACAAATTATAAGGCACTGGCCATCGGAGAGAAATGCTATATAAATCAAAATGAAAATAAAATTAAAACAAATGCACAATATGTATATACATATATATATATATATGTAATAATGTATATACATTTTCTTTTGATTTTATTAATTAATTCGAGAAAAAAAAAAAAAAAAAAAAAAACGCGCATACTTACTTAGTATATTTGTGCTGGTTAATCCTTTAAAATGTTAATCCAGTTCACAAAGGAGCACTTGATGCCATTGTGATGAGTCTCTACACTTCAATGTTTGCATTTTCGCTATCGCTCTCATTGTCGCTAACGGACGAGGTAGGTGGACAACTACCAGGACTTTCGTTACGTTCAGGTGGGCTACCGGGATTTAGCTGAGGACTTGGCGAGCGATTTACTATTTCCACACTGTTACGCTGTTCGTCATCATCGCTGCGATTGGGGCTAGCGTTACGCAAATTACTACTAACAGATGGAAAATTATTATTTTCATTACTGCTATTTAACGTTTGTGTAGCCGTTTGATAATAATTGCTTAGCGTTGTTAGGGAACTGGAAGCATTTAAATGTGGTATAGGAGGTGGGGGGTGCACTGGTAAACTGCTTAATGCAGCAGCACTAGCCAACGGTGGAACCGATGGATACATACGATATGTTAAAGGTTTCTGTAAAACAGCAGCTGCTGCTGCCTGGCGATAATATAGATCTATGGGTGTGGAGCCTGTCAAGTGTGGCGGTGCTTGAGCAGCAGCAGCATAAGGCCATGGCGCCAGGTACGGTGAGCCTCCATATAAACGTTGAAAGGCTGCGTAATTACCAGCCTCAGCCAATAATTCCAAGCCTACTGCTGTTTGACGTTTCCACTTTGTTCTGGGAAAGAAAGAAACAATAAAAAAAACAAAAACAACCAGAACAACTTAAAAACCATAATTGTTAACATTAAAATATTAAATGTAGTGGAACAGGTTTCTTATTCTCAGTCGTAGTAGTGGTAGTAGTAGTAGTAGTAGTAGTAGTAGTAGTAGTAATAGTTAATAACTAGAGGCGCCTGTTTAATGATAACAAAATGTTTTTACATTTTAAAGTAATTAAAAAGAAAAAAAAAAAAAAGAAAAAGAAAAACTCACAGGAGAAAATTTTTTCAATTTTCTTTTCATTTTCTTCTTTGTTTTACGCTTAATATATTAATCCTCACAGTTTTTGGGTTTTAACAGGATTACTGTCTAGAAAATTGGATTAAAATGTGCTTTCAAAACCATTATTCCTTTTCCTTTTTAACTAATAAGAGAGAGAGAGAGAGAGAGAGAGAGAGAATGCAAACAACGTAGAGGCACTATTCTGCTACTTAAAGGAAGCTAAAGTGGGCGTTGTATGAAACAATTATCTTATAGTACATTAACCATATTTCAGTGAATTCGGAATGATTTGGCAAAAAAAAAAAAAAAACAAAAAAAAAAAAAAATGCTAAAAGAAATTTTGAAGAGAACTCTTTTAAAGATGCTTGTCTTCGAATTTTTTCCTTTTTCTTATTTTATGTCAGCCTTTACTCTTCATTTGAATGATTAATGTTAAATTCATGGCAGCGGTATGTTCAAGATTAACGTCAGAGAAGTCAGTTCTTATATAAATTTTTGTTATACATACTTTACCGCCACTTTTCTTCGTTTTTTTGTTTTTTTGTTTTTTTTTTTTGCTTTAATCTATTTAGCCGTATGGCAATTATTCATAAGCAAGATACCTTGGTTTAGGCGAAACCAATTGCAAAGTGTGTGTAAATGAGTGAGTGAATGCTTCTAGAATATGCGTTGTTTAACTGTTTGCATCAGAGCTGGCCGGCCAATTAATAACGGACCGCCCTGCTGTCATATTGAGTTAAATGTAATTCGTAAGGATTCTTGCCAATTACTCCTATAACTCAATTTTTGCTCACAAAGGTTTTCATTTTCAAGCCTTTGCAGCAATATAAAGTATTTTCCTATCACATTTACTACGTTATAATGCTTAGAGGGTCTTTACGAAATCTATTCTCGATTTGGAGACCTTGTAACCAAGCAAGTCTTCGATTAACTTATCTTCAAATTTTTAATTTACTTGTGACGACTATCAAAAGCATTCAGAACTATGTGCTCTGTGCAGGTGCAGCAATCTCATCATAGGCCGACATTGATATTCTCGATATTTCCGATAGTTTATGGAATTGAATTGATTAGCTTTAAGTACAAAAATTAACAGACTAACGCTCTCCCTTTCCTCCTCTAGATATTCCTTTTATGCTTGTCTTTAACTTTCCTTACCTTTACGTTTCTTTCAACGGTAAAAACCTTAGTATTGTTATTAAAAAATTTTTGGCCCCTGCCTGTTCAAGTTCGATAGCCCTGTTTGTCTGTGTAGGGGTTGTTTCACGTACCGCAATGACGTGTTAATTTCGTTTAAATGCGATAATAAAATTTTATCTAAATTTAGTATAAGACATGTGATAATATGTTCGTTTTAAAAATGTTGATAATAATTATTTATTAAAATTGAAGGGAACACTTGTCTCCATTTACCTTTAAAAATATATGTCCTCGTAATAGTAAAATTGGTTCACACAATCCTTTCCCTCTTAATTTATCTTAACTAATATCAATTTACGCATGAATACTTGCTGCTGCGAAACGTGAATAGTGATTATTGTGTTCATTCTTTAAAACTGTCAATTCGTCTATCTACCCATCTATCTTAATGGCCTTCATTTCATATTCGTTTTATACCCTTCAGAAAATAGAAATAAGGGTTCAGTAATGTGTTTGTAACCGTTAGAAATATCCACCACAGGTTAGCATAATATACAAGACTTGAGGATTTCGGGTCAGTTTAGTCGTTTCTTAAAGTCCCGCAAAATGTCACATACAAAAAATATTCATATTTTCTATAAGCATTTACTGCTGGTTATCGTTTCTTCCCTTTGCCCCGTTGATGATCGATGAATCGTAAATCGTAAATAAAAAGAAGTTAAATAATTGTTGTAATTTTTTTTAGTTTTAAAAGTAGACATAATCCGTTCACACAGTACTAGGGGCAATTATGAATAACTGAATGTCAAGACAACTCGGAAATAAATTCGAATAAGTCCGTCTCAAATTGATTAATAACTTATGACATATAGCAGATATCGCCATTTGAATAACACATATGAAAATGATCCTATCTGATCGATTATCATCTGTGCGATTACGAAGGCATTAAGAGATCTTTATTTAAGCAAAAGACTAAGTTGATCGGAGGCGCACACAAATCTGTATGTGAGTCCAATAGACGCATTTATTCAATCATTTTCGAAACTTGACTTATATTAAGTTCAATTTAAAGAGCAAATCGCGTTTACATGCTCTTTACATTTTGCATATTGGCGATTTTTCGCTGCAATTACAATCAAATTACGTTCATTACGATATTCCCAATGAATGAACGAACGAACGAAAAATATGGCTGGATTTAAGCACATCTGACCGTTCCTCTATCTCTCATTTCCTTGCCCCAAATGTGTATATATCGTGGCTTCAAATTTAAGAAAAATAATGAAGTTTGTTGCAAGCCGGTATCACAAGCACACTTTTGTACATTGTCTGGCATTCTAGTGTTCAGAGTACAACTTATTAAATTTCTATATGCTAAACGAGTATAAGACACATTTTAAGTTGTCGAGGACGACTATATAAAAAATATTTAAAATTTACAAAATCGATTCGACAAAGGAACAAACCTAAATTTTCATATCTTGTATTCCGCTTTTATTTATAAATATTGTAGTTGTTGCATCTAATAAAAGATCGCGGTTCTTATAAAAAGTATAATCGATTTTTAACATTGTTGAACCCAGTCTTGTGCATTGTTCTTAAATTATATGAAACGAGCAGAACCCTTTTCTCAGCAGAACTCTTAAAAGGTGATAAGAACTCCTAATTGTAAAATGTTGTTAATCTCAACAAATCACATTGGAGTACGTATCGATTTTGATCATTTTTTTACTTTAAAATTATATCTTCTTCTTTGCTTTGCCTTGAAAATCTTAAACAGAATATTTCTCCAGCTCAAATGGCAACCGTATGGTCTAGTGGAGAGGATGTTCGGCAATCAGTCTGAAAATCAAAATTCCATCCCTTGTGTGACAGTGCATAGTCAATTGCATTCCACTGCTTGATGTGTGTAATCATTTGTTTAAAGATTTGAAATGGAAGAAGCTGCTTGTGACATGGGGACCTTTTTCAATAAACACAAATATAATTACATATATATATAATATATATGCATGTATTTTGATCAACAACATCTCTATTGGTGAAAATGGTAGAGCAATGCGAAGTTAAATTTGATGATTTTTACACTTTCTCTAAATAAAAAAAAAAAAAAAAAAAAAAATGCAAATTTCTCATTGAATGCGTATACAGACTGTACAGACGCTTATCATTGAACGCTCAAAATTGCCTCATCTCAGTTGTCGTTTTCCGTTTCAAACGTTCAAAAGTAATGATTTTAATATCAATGACAAAGAACGATCTGGTTGACCAAAACGTAGACAATGAATTTGGAAGACTTAGCTCATCTCAAACTCTCAAAATACTTCCGAACCGTTAAACAGTTGATCAGACAGAATTAACTGACTCTGTACATTTACAGGCAGAAAAAATGGCTACCATACAGATTGATCATGATTGAATCGCTGCCAAATCAATATAAAAAGGATGAACAAAAAAAATTGTAGAAAATATTGGAAAATATTCTGACTAATATATATTATATCAAATTTTTTAAATAAATGCTTTTCTCGAGTAAAAAGTTGATCAAAATACATGAAAGCATTTATCTGCTTGAAGCTTAAAAAAAGGAGAAAATCTGATAAGCTTTTCATAATAATCACCGAACAATGAACGATTTTATCAAAACGGCCAGAACGTAACGGTCAGGAAAAAGTTTCATAGCCTCCGTAATAATATGCAGCATCGACTTAAGGATGTACGTCTGTTCGAAAGATCGTTCCACGCATCTTTCTATTGCAAATGGTTAAAATCAGTGAAAGGATACGATTGCAGTACAAAAACTGGTCGTTGATACGTTTGCTTTCTGGCTTTTTTCAATTCTTACTCGTAACATACAACGGATAGAGAGGATAAAGTTTTGCCATGGGTGGAACTATATGGAAATGGAAAAAACCAATCAAACCTATTCAATATTTACGATTTTTCGCTCGATATCTAATTATGTTCAGTTTTTACTTTTGAATTCTTTTAGGATAAGAATGATGGGAATAAAAAATATTCGTCGTTTTACTTGTTTTCTTCAATTACGTGTAACGTTTATTTGGTTTGCACCTTCCTACTCTTAATGTGATTGTGTGTGTGTGTGTGTGTGTGTGTGTGTTACAAAAATTATGTAAGAAATTATTTTGTGTTTTTTTTTTCCTTTCTTGCTTTTTTGCTTTGTTGTTTGGTTTTGTTTTGTTTTTCTTTTTTCTATTTGGTTTGGCTTACCTGCGATTTTGATACCAGGTCTTCACTTGACAATCGCTCAACTCAAGTTTGTTGGCCAACTCCATACGATCTTGAACACTTAAATACTTTTGACGTTCGAATGATTTTTCCAATGTTTGCAATTGATGATCGGTAAAGGCGGTACGAGCCTTACGTTGTTTCTTCGTTAAGCCCATTAAATTGTCGCTACTCTTAACACTGTGACCATCATCATCTTTGGCACCTGCACAAAATTCAATTAAAAAGACGAAAATGAAATTAAAGGTTCAAAAGAAAAAAAAAAAAAACAAAGAAAGCAAAGAGGAAAGAAGAAAGAAAGAATAATAAAGTAGAAGTGCCACAAGAACAACAACAACAAAAAGGACTCTTCGTAATGTTATCGAATATGGTTTAATTTTAAGCGGATATAAAACATTTAAGTTGGGTCTGAATGAAGTGAATGATTTTTTATCGTTTTTTTTTTTTGTCTTCTTCTTCTTTTTTGTTTTTGTTTTTTGCAACCAGATTATTTGCTCCCTACCGCCTACCAACCCACTTGCTACAATCTCTTTATAACTGATTTGAATATTTACTCTCTCTCTCTCTCTATCTCTCTCATTTTTTAGATATACAACTGCACTACTACTATTACTACTACTAACAACAACAACAACAACTACAGCAGCAACAACAGTAATAACGACAAAAACATCATCAAGAGCTCAAACGTTAGTTATTGTGAAACTGGTTGGTTTACATTTCTTTAGAGTTGACGTGTTCAGTATTTGAGTGAAATGATGCGTAAATTTTTGTGTCATATTTAAGTGCAATTAATTAAAATCGTTACTGTCATATACAACAATAACAACAACAAAATGAATAAGAACATGTATATATATATATATACATGTATAATACTTCTATATATGATACATGTTTCTTTGGTTTAATTTTTCAAGACTTTACGACTTAAATGAAATGCTTTAACATTTATCGTAATTAAGTTTTATTAATTAATATAAGTGCTTTATGCATTAACGTGCATATAACGATGCCCACATACACATACACTCAATTTTCCATCATTAGCTTATTAAAAACATTTAGTAACCAAGCGTTTGCTAATTGCTTTGTGACCTTAAATCAAAAAAAAAAAAAAAAACAATCTTTTCTTCTTACGTTTTCTTACATTTCAATTACGATTATATTATACATCATTAATTGGAGAATTGTAATTATTTTTATTATTTCTAATTTATTTTCAATTGTATTTAATTCGCGTTTTTTTTATTTTTTTTTTTTTTTCCATTAAATGCATTATATAATTATGCAATTCGATCAGTAAAACTTTAACTTATATCTTGCGTTTTGTATTTATAATTTTCGTAGACGCACATATTATATATATTATATATAATAATAAGCCTTTCTGAAAATTATTATTATTATTAAGCTTTTGAAGATTAAAATTACAAGTAATATGCCATAACCGTCGCAACGTACCGACACAAAACTTAACTAAATACGATTTACTTAACGCAACTTCAAACTTCAACTTAAGCCAATTGCTTTCTGAGTGCAAAAATTTGCATTTGTATTTGTTATAGTTGTAAAAAGCGTTTCTATCAAAAGACCATCTATGATGCCAATGTTACAGTTTGATCATAATAAATGGTAAACTTTTAAAAGGCCTTGTAATTTAATTCTTATACGCAACACTTGGAGAAATATTCTACTTACTATCTATCTCTCATTAAAAGTAACTACAAGATCTCATTCAAAACTAATCATATCATGTTTAAATGATTTAGAATTGATTGCAATTGCAGCAACATGACACGAAAAAAAATATACTTTGGCTAAATCGGAACATTATGTCGATTAAAAAATTTATATAAAGATTTATATCGGATCATACTTATTTTTTTTCCCCCTCTCACTCATTCATTCATTCATTCATTCATTCATTCATTCATACATTCATTTATTTCTTTGACATTCACTACATCTATTTCTCATATAAGGTGCAAGATTTTTTGACAAACTTACTTTTCTAATTTTGTTTCTTCGAAAGTTAATATTATCCTACTCCATACCATATATCAAATTTGCCGATATTCACCGAACACCGTTAATGATATCATTCCCGTGTCATTTGAAACGCGTGCGATAATCATACGATTTTTACTTAAACTATAATCGTTCTGATTAATATCGAAAGCATATAAAAAAGCAAAACAGCAAGAAAAAAAAAAAAAAAAAAATTAAAAATAAATAAATAAATAATCAGAAAGAGCATATCTGATCAATGACTAGCAAATAAAGCAAAACAGCAGAAAAAAAGAAAAACAACAACAACAACAGAAAAAAAAAAAAAAAAAAAAAAAGATAAAAATTAGCTTAAATATCATATAAACCTTTTCAAAAGCAAGGCAACACTAAAAACTTTGGATATAATTTGCAAAACATATACACGTTGATATATTTAAACAAGTGTGATTGATATTTGAAAGTCGGTGTTGAACGATTGAAATTGATACTAACGAGTAGACAACAGTGATTTTATGATTTTAACAAAAAGAAGTTAAAAAAAAAAAAAAAAAAAAAAAAAAAAAAAAACATTTTTTTGTGAAGAAAATTCACATAAAGCCACAGAAATTTTTTTTGTTTTTCTCTTTTTCTCTTACAGACCAACCACTTCACATATTGTTGCTGCTGTTGTTGTTATTGTTGTTATTTGGATGAAGTTAAATGGGTTCACATCACTCAAGTTGTTGTTTTTTTTTTTTTTTTTTATTTCATTTTTTTCTTCTTTTTGTTTTTTTTTTTTTTTCTTGTTTTAGTATAAATATGTATATATTTATTTTCTTTTATTTTGGTATGTCTGAGTGAGTTTCATTTTGTTGTTGCTGCGTATTTATACCGCAAGTGATGAAGTGAAGTGTAAAGTGATCAAGTGAATGATCAACTTGACGTACGATCACACTCTGATTTCTACGTGATTGCACATTTAAATCAAAACATCGACGACGAAGAACAAGAAGACGACAAATAAAAAAAGAAATCAACACATAACTGTGCGTTGAAAAGACAAAGACACAAAAGAAAAACTGGTCATTTCAATATTTCAAAGATTCGTAAGAATAAATAAGTAAAAGATATTGGCTGCAGAAAAGTTGCTTGAAAAAAATTTCAAAAATTTTTCAGACAACATTAAAGCATTTTTGTAAGGCTTCATTCACAGTCTTCAGTAATGTGAATATTAATGAATATATGTATATATGTATAATGAAATCTCTATATAAAATGTATAATATTCCATTTGTCCAAATTTATGATTAAGATTTCGTTATCAATTACTTTTAGTCAACTAATAAGTTAGCATAATTTAAAGGGAATAAGCCTTCTTCGGAAATTTGTGAGCAATTTTATTAATTTTCTTTGATGCGAGTGCGTGTGTGAGTGCAAGATGATAATACAATATTGATTATTTCTCAGGGTAGACTTTTCACCATTTCACAGCGTCAAGTTTCGATTTCAGCTGCTTGTGAATTTCATCTTTATATGCTAAGGAGTACTTGAGCATGTTCGAATCTCAGCATTTGTTATGAAGACCGGAATAGACTAATACTAAGATGAGAGAGAGGTACATATTTGCCGATTTTCGTTTTTATTTAGTTACGCATTTCCCCCATTTGTGCATTGCAGAGCGCAATTTTTTAAGCTCTTAATAATAATTGAAGTGAATGCATGGCACACCTGAATGAAATACGCTTGCGTTTCATATCCATATGAAATTTTTGCACGTATCACTGAACGATGCGCGCATGTGTATATATATATATATATATGTGTGTGTGTGTGTGTGTGGATGGACATTGGGCTTTGTAAAACGTTTTCAACCCGTTTCACTGAACCCCTGAAGTACATATATAATATTAAACGCATCCATAATTCCGTCTGTCCATCTCTATGACGACTGTGGCAAGCATTCTCCCAGTCGCAAAAGTGAATTTGGTGGCTCCAAATTCGACAGAAATTTTGAAAGTTCTTGCACCAAAGTAGGCATTGAAAATGGACCAATTCGGTCAATGAAAACGCCTTCAATGCAGGGCAAACTAAGAAGACCTCTGTTTTCTGAGTTTTTCGCTTATTATTTATAAATTTTACGTAATAAAAATTTCCTTATTTGTTCTAAAAAAAAACTCGTCCAGTATTGTGGAGTATGGAAGTTCAGTTCTTTGATCTTGTTTCACTCCTTGTTAGGATAAAAGTGACGGGCGAATAATAGATGCCCGTCAGATGCGAATATACTTTCCTTGTTTACATCCTTTTCATAATGACATAAGAATAATTAACACTGCGTGCTTACTTGATTGTATATCAATCTTTTAACCTAAAGGTAACATATCTTTTTTACATCAGCATTTTTATGAAATGCAAACCATATTTTCGGACAATATTTTATATTATTTTTCCGTACGCGCTTACTATTGTTTTAGTAATGAAAAGTGCATGCGAGATGACATGGGCAGTTGCATCGTAGACTTGCTATTCTCTTAAGGTCAGCGCATAGATAGCTTATGGCTTTCCTCGTTTAATTTTCAGTTAACTACCTATACATAGTTATGATAGTACGCCACTATACCTGAAACCCAGTAAGGGTTTGGTTTCTTTGATTAATTGGAAAAGTCACACCACCTTCCGACCCCAGTATTATATATCTTCCTGTCTATAATAAATATGCTATATAAAAGTATCGAGGGTCTTGGCTTAAATTTCGAGTGTATTTCTGTTAGTAGTTCTTGTAATTTGTGAAACCAACATTTAACCTAAGAACATATAGCCAAAGTTTCCTACCTTTGTGCGCCTCGACAAAGTATGTGTTCACAAACGAACGAACGAATCAAATTATTTCAAAATATGTAACCAATTGAGCATATATCGTACATTCTTTAAAACCATAGCTTCCGCACGCACACCCAACTACCATCATTTGAAATATTTTAAACAATGATACAAAGTTATTGTTAGAAATAAAAAGGAGAAGCCTGACAAGATCTTTCCTAACACCTTAAATGTAAAGCTTAGTTTTGATGATGTTTTTCTTATTTTACGATCAAAATGGTGATTTCTGGCTTGTCGTTTAATTGAATATCTGGATCAACTTTTTTGTTCAATCGTCGCAGGAAACTTCTTAACTTGGCCGAGCACTTAACGCTTATAAGCTACAGTCTGCTCGTC